CCGAACACAAAGGCAGAAGGATGAATGAGATCTGTTTGAACATCACCATAGAAACACAACCCCCCACCTCTGTCCATCCAGAATCCATGGGCAGGTTCTCATGCAGCTCCTTCATTGCCTCCGTCTTGATCTTTGCCCTAAGCAAACTCAAATCCGCCTCAAGTCTCATCTCTGAAACTCCTAAATGTCATATAAGACAATAATGTGGGCCAAGGAAGCGTTCACAGACAATGGTCCTGTTAACATTCACTCAAACCATTTTCAATTAAATTACATCTGTGACTTTTGTTTTCATGGTCCAGTTTTATTACGTCTGGTATTAAAGATTGTCACACTACTTGTTATGAAGTTTAAACATGTGGAGAAATAAAATATTATTAAGGTGCTGAATTGGTTATGTTTACATTTCTGTACAAAGATGTCGGATCTCTGGAAATAAATAGAATGGGACTTGGGGCAATATATTACTTTTTTGGGGGTTTAGATTAGTATTTTTAATATTAATATACAGGAGGTATATAGCAGGAACAGTTTGCTCAGCACTTTAGAATATAAAGGAATAGATTTTAACTACATAAATTGACCAATAATTGGCTAATTTGCAACAGACATCCAGTAGAGAAGGCTTCCATCTTCTGTATCTCAACATGTTGCCTAGTCCACCCATGTTACATGCAGAAATATAGTGACTATATTACAGCATTGGCTTTTCAGACCCTTTATACAGAAAAAACTTGGCACGGATGTATCTGCTAATACAGGAAAATTAATTTTCCTTCCAATGATTCCATTTGACAGATCTTATCTCTCGTTATTAACAGTAAACTTATTCAACAGGTGTCTCATTAATAAATCCGATCAGTGAAATACATCATTTGTTTGTCGAAAAACTTTAAATTTTTCAGACGAAAGCAAATTCGAGTTTGTCTTATCGGTCTCAGGAGGCGGCTCCAGATGCCAGGATTTGTGTCATGTTCTGGCTGATCTTTAACAAATTGACAGCAGCTGTTAGATTAAACGCAATTTTTCCCAGAAGCTCTCCCTTTATCTGTGCTCCAGACCTTTGTAAATAGAATGAGCAGCACATAATCAGTACTGGAGTGTCATTTCACTGAGAAATTACTAAGTGCTGAACTTTCTGTTAGAGGTCTGCCCTTCTAACACATAATGGTCCTCCCCTTTGCAAGTTCGGCATTTTGCTACATAATTAGTAGTTTTCTTATTTGTTTATTATTATTTGGGGGTTTTTTGGCATCTGCAGAGGCGGTTATTTTGGGCACAGTTAGGCACTGCAGCTGTTATCCAGAGACAAAAGGGAAATTGGGGAAAAAAACCTCAATATAACTAATAACATGGGGACTAAGCAGGAAGTAGCTATACCTTATAAAATTGATCCCCTCCTTACCATCTTGTCTTGAATTGTATTGTAATTATAATGTCTTCCCCATATTGTAAAGCGCTGCGCAAACTGTTGGCGATATATAAATCCTGTAGTATTATTATAATAATAATAATAATAATAATAATAATAATGCCCTGGCTATGACTAAAGCCATAGTCCAGCTTTTACAAAAAAATAAATAAATGCACAAACATGAATAAAAGAACACTGTGTATTTACTACTTTTTGGCATTTAAGTCTGCAAAGCATTGCAATTGTGATGAGTGGATTGCGGGTGCAATTCTTAGACCCCATTCACACCTAGCGACATACCTTTTGCAGCGGATCCGCACGGCCGGGATAGCGTGACTTTCGGGGCGACGTTCCAGCGACGATCCAGCGACGGTAGCGCGACCTTCCCCGTCGGACTCCATAGAAAAAAAGCAAAATTGCGCAAAATCCGCCGAAAAAAGGGTCCGGTAGAAGCGACTTGCGACCGCGACGAGCGACGCGCGACATGGAGTTAAGACAGCTCCATTGAATAACATTGGCCGGCGACTTCTCGCGATATCACGCGGCAAAAATGCGCGATATCGCGGCGGAAATCGCGCGACAATTCGCTATATGTGAACGGGGCCTTAGGCCCCTGTAGACTTCCTCCCAGTCCTGTCTGTACCATGGTGTGGTTCATTAACAGGACAGGAGAAAATATCAATGGACTGCAAGTGCAGTGACATCAGTATACCTGTATGGCCCAACTACATTGGGCCATACAAGTCCCTCTTCCACAGTAGCAGATGGATCTTGTAGTCTCTGCACTGACAGATCCTATGAATGGATATCTGAACGGATGACATAGATCTGTGACAGCAGCCTGCGAGGTGAAGAATCCCATGATTCAGGTAAGGGGGGGAATGAGAATGTAATATGAAACATGGTCAGAAAAGTAAACTTAGCCTCTGATGTTATATGTTCTCTCTATGTTTTTATGGATTTACTCCAATGCAAAAGTTCCTGATAAGTGAATTGACTTTTTGCATGCCTCCAAACGTTCTGACATGGGAAAGAGGGACACCATTTACCACAAATTATGCAGACAAATGACATACTCCAGTTTGGATCCACCCACAAGTGCTCTCTTTCACCACTATTTTTCCTTTACACTGGCTCTCAAAAAACCAAATGCAAAAATGTTTAATGAAAGGTTTAGTGAATTGTAACTCTTTTGTTAAACAGTAAATTTTGATTGAGAACTTTACATCAGACTGAAAAGAGGGACAGCTGAAGAAGTAGGGAAATAGTAATTTGGTTTTAAAAGAGCTACCGTTCTACCAAATGAGGGGCAGTTGGTGCAACAGACCAGTTCACTGTCACATAGATTAAAACTAAACTCCAGACAGATAGAAATACAGAAATGAATGCAGCTTTGTATACATCATTAATTTTTTTTTTTTAATGCAAGTAGTGTAAGCACCAGAATTTAACCTGTTATCAGCCTCCGGTATCCCATATACAGCAGGGCTGAAGTGTGAGAGGGGAAAAAAAGCAATACAAGGAGCCAATCAGGTGACAAATAGAATGCTGATAGAAAGAGAAAGCAGAATGACAGAGAAATGAACTCATCGCTGTACTGCTTCTCCTTTCACTGTCCAGTCACGGGCTGGGACAGGTCCATAAAAGCCTGCGCTCAAAGGCAGTGGGATCAAAGATGCTGGCTATTAGGTCGAGGGCATCTAGCAGCAGAAAAATAAGTACTGTGGGGTAAATCTCTGGATTGAAGCTGAGTGATTGCAGCAACATCTGGTGTTGTTATTTTATTGTATCTTTTAATTGGCTATTCATTATAATTGTGTTATTTTTTTGGCTGAAGCTCTTAACTTTGAGTAATTCTATCCACTCTATAAAGGGCCGTGGAACCGACATATGACCTATGTAGAAATATTTAGAGCTAAAGCCCCTACATTTAAATAAGCTGTTTAAGAAATGCCCCCTCAAAAGTAATATTACGGTTATGCAGAAAGACTTGAAATTGTTAACTAAGTTGGAAAGATGTCTTTGTCATTTATTGTAGCTATATGCAATGTGGATTTACTTTGTAAATGGAGAAGTATGGTTTTTCTCACTGAATAATCAGATACCAGTGATGTGGTCCATGGGTTTTGTTCTACAACGCAGTGAATGGCACCCTTTGGTCCACATTGAGGGCCAAGACTTAGTGTCATACTCAGTGGCCATTTATAGTGCCACTTTCTCTGCTTGCCAGCCCACTCTAATTGTGAAGGCATAGACTGGCACTTAGACTGGAGCCAAGAAACACAGTATTCTACCCACGTGCCAACTCTTGAGCAGTAATGAAGAAATGGACTGGCAAGCGTCGAAGTGTCCCCTAGATGTGAGAGTTGGCAATATTGAAGTGACTTGATGTCACGTGTCATGCATGAAATGGGTTTGGGGAGATGGTGAGGTGTTTCATTAAACAGATTATGGCATCTGTGAGATTTGAATGAAGATGCATGTAGGACAGCCAATTTCTTAAAAGGATTGTGCTCTTTGCAATGTACATCTGTCACCACAGCACATGAGAAGGTGTCAGCCAGGGGACTGGTTATTCATACAATATATTGACTGCTGAAATTAATGTTTTGACTTTGATTCTCCTGATGATAATAATAAAAATATATATTATGTGCAAACAGAATGTAGAATATTTGCTTAAGAACTTTTGGCCAATGCTGTGTGTTTTGTTTGTTTAATAACATGGACATTCTATGAAAATGAAAGGGAGATGACAGATTTGGCATCTGTTATTACAATTAGGCTATTTATAGTTATAAAACAGATCTATATCCCGGTAATAAAGAAATACACAGGTGTGGTAGTATTTTATGAATTTCCTAAAGTGAAACTCCACTTTTGTTGAGAAAAACACAATTTTCAGCAAGTATATTAATTGGAAGGACTTTTGCAAACCCCATTGCAGATTCTTGCCTTATCCTGCTCTCCAGGTCCTGAAACACACTATTGCAATAACTTCCATGATGCTGCTAGTGTCCTTTATGTTATTTACAATGCATGCATTTTAGTATGTTCAGATGACCTCCACAAGCTTGTCTAGGGGTACAAGGACAGTGTGCATTGTAAGTATGGTCAGACTCTTAAACTACGCCCCCCTAAACCACGCCAAATATGTAGTGCTTCATATTCACAGCCAATTTTTGCTGCAGCCCCCGGGGCACACAGGGAGGAGTCCCAATGTGCCCCTGCACTTGTTTATCTTATAAAACATGTTGGGGAATAGCTGGTCTTTGTTCTCAAAGAAATTACATCATGAATTGGCATTGGGCAGTGCACAACTGGGACCCACTAGACCAGGGATGGCCAAACCGCGGCCCTCCAGCTGCGGTGGAACTACGTATCCCATGAGGCTTTGCAAGATTCTCACAGCCACAGACATGACTCCCGGAGAGAGATGCTTCATGGGATTTGTTTTACCACAGCTGGAGGGCCGGAGTTTGGCCATCCCTGACTATTCGACTTCTATAGACATTTGATCAATTGTATCTTTTCTAGTCTTGCGTAATAGGTGCCAATGTTCTATCATGAGTTCTTCTCTTTCCAGATCAGAAAGGATGGTTAGCCTGATGACACAAGAAGAGAAAATATTGGCCATGAGATCACCTCTTCTTGTCAGAAAAACAGAGAACTTATCCCCCACTGAAGGTATGGTTAACGTTCACAGTGGTAGGTAAACTCCCTATTCTTATATTTTTCATAATCAGTACAGCAGAGCTTACTTAATATTGGCCAATAGCATTTTAATAATTTTTTATATACAATTGTCAGATGAATATAAATTGTATTTAAGTGTTAATATTTTCCTTTTGTTAACTATAGTTTAGCATTTCTCAACCGTCTTTCAGTAATAATAAACCAACATGAAGTTTAAAAAAAAAAATCAGGTCGATTAGATATTTCACGTGAGTTCCGAGAGTTTCCAAACTTTAAAGGTTCAGCAGCTTCCGTTCAGGAGATATTACAAGCATGCTTCCTTTGGCCTGCTAACATTTATTAAGGTTTGAGCTGTGGTTCTTTAGGAAGGATGAGATCCGATTATCCAGCATTTCTGTGTATGATAACAGTTGAAGATGGTTATAGCCTATCTAACCCCAAATGCAAAAAGTAATATATTGCAGTTTACCAATCTTTAGATGTGGTGGTTGCATTAGTTTTCTTTTTTTCTTTTGTTGTCTGACCAGTAAGTCTGTTGTTTTTCACCTTCTTTTAACAGACCAAACTGTCAATCTAAAGTGGCAGATAGAGGGTTGAGACTAACGGGGGTGCTTACAGTAGTTACCTTTCATTCAGTAATGTAAAACCTTTATGCCAAAAGGAAAACAAAAAAAAAGTTTTCTGGAACTGTTTAAAAAGTGTTAGCAAGAGTTCAGATTAAATTTGTTAGCCTAGTCCAGGGGTCACGAAATGGTGGACCGCGGTCTGGAGACGGGCTCCTCTGGGGAGCCTGGGTCCACAACATACAGTGTCAGGAAGGACAGTGGAAGCAGATTGATCTGCTCTGTGATCACTGAAGCATCAAGCACTGTACTCCTAGCTCTTCATGCTTCAGCTGTCAGAGGCCGGCTGAAATGCCTGGTAAACAGAAGATCAAGCACATTCTAGTGCTTAATCGTCTGTACTGGAGGGCAGGAGAGATATCAGAAGTCTAATAGACTCCTTATGTTTCCATAAAGAGAACCTGTCACCTCCAAATGCTGTCATATAGGGGCTTGTTAGCCTTTTTTTGCTAGCAAATGTAAAACAAAAAAAAGTGATAAATAGTAAAAAATAATAAAAATTTAAAGGAGCATTGTGGGGAGTGTGAAATACACTCATCCCCATAATTGGAGCCGACGTGTGACACAGCAGCTGTCACACGTTGGCTCCATTGATTGGGAATTGAGCAATCACATACCACTGATCACTCAGTTCGCGATCTTTTCCCTGCAGAGAGCGGTGGCTCAGTCGCAGGTCCCCACAGGGATTCCACTCTCCATTGCTCCAGAGCTGACTGGAGGAACAGATGGGAGAGGGGGCGGGCACAGTTGGCAATCAGGTAGCAGGTGGACCCTGACAATATTGTCGTGATCCATCTCGGGCAGCGCAGCTTTGCGCTGTCAGTATATAGCAGGCAATAGCCCGCTATATGCTGAGTTTTGGGTCACAGGAGGACATTAGCATGTGTTTAAGTGAAAATATTCATCATATTATTTTATTGATCAATTGTATATGCTGCAGTGGAAAAACACTTTCTGTAATATTTGCTTCTCTTTGTCAGCCATGTCCTTAGTAAAGTCTAGAAATGGTATGAAATACTAAATGCAGAGAATTTCATGGTCACCAATCCATCACAAAAGTTGTAATGGATATCAGCATACTTGACCTTATCTAGCTCGTCATCGAAGTACTAAAACTGCAGACTGAGTACGTTATGCAGCCATCCATGTAGGTGCTTACTATATAGATTGTAAAAAGAGCTGATACATGTCCTAGAACTTCTGCTTTTTCCCATTTTCTAGTGGATGATCAGTTGTTTCGCTCAGTAGAAGGACAAGCTGCATCTGATGAAGAGGAGGAAAGGTGGATTGGGGAAACAGCAGCAGAAGTGCGACAGATTCTAACCAATGTCTCATGCTGTGCAAGTGGGTGAGTAATGCTCAGAGTTTAGACAAAAGGTAACAACCCGGTCACCAATGAAGAATAAAATTAAGCTTAAAGAAGGAATCTGGGGGAAAAAATTGTTAAGCCTTGCAGTAGGGCTACCCCTGCACTGCAAGGATTAGGTGCTAGTGTTCGTCTAGGTGCGAAAATAACAAAGTTATACTCACCCGATCCTCGCAACTGGTTAGCTGTTAAAGTGCCCCCTCCATCCTGTGCCCTCCTCTGCTCCAGCGATAGTATGTCCCTTGGTGCCCTTATGTCTAATACACTGTATTGGACTTGATGACTCACAGGACCTTAGACCGCTGGAGCAGAAAGTATAGCAAGTATAGAAAAAATTTCTATACTGTCCCCGCCCCAACCCTACATTAAATAAACATGTATCTGGAGTATTAAATGGAGTGTGGCAGTTCACAATCCTGCAATTTAAAAGAGTTGTACAATGGAACAATACAATCATAATATAACAAATCAATATTGTTGAAGAGGGGTTTGATGCTTACAAGTAGTCACTTGTAAGTTTTAGGTGAGCCTATGCTTTGCCCACACAGGCCAACAGACTCACTTTAATGGCAGCTCAAGCAGCAACACATACTGAACTTCCCTTTATCTCTGATCCACCAGGCATGAAGAAAAGTACCCAGTACTTCTGAGTATCGGAGAGCATGTGGCTCACTCCTCTTTCTCCCATGCGAGAGGCATGCTTCTTGATGATGGACCATTTAGGTGGCCAACGCTGTCACATAGGGATGGGGAGCTACGGGTCATGCCTTAGAGCTTACACAGCACCTTCTTTCTTTTCTCCTGGCAGCTGAAAAGAGCAGCATAGGAATGAAAGGAAAGTAAGTATAAGCAGCTGGGGCCACTATTAGAGTGAACCTGTTGCTTTGCACTGCTTGGGATTAATTAAAGCTTGAGAAGAAGAAAATTCCATTAAAAGTGGTCGGTCGTGCACAGTCATACTCCGTAGACAAAAAGGGTGTCAGTCAGTTAATAGTTATTCCAACTTGCAGTTCTGAATTGCCCTCACACTTCTGAATATTATGAATTTTCTTATTTATTAGTTGGCGTGACATGAATTATGAGGTGAAGAATATATCTGAAGTATACATAAGCCTGTGAATTTATTTTGCTAGGTGTGAAGACAGGGGAATGAGGAAGCTCCTGTGTGATATCAGGTCAGATGGTATTAATCACAAGAATATGCTTTTCCTATTGGTCAAGAAGGTTGCCAGAATGATGGAAGAGCTGGCAATTAAGGAGCAGGAAATGAAAGATATGGAGGTCCTAATGGAAGAGGTAAGGAATGGTCAGAATCAGGGCTCATTTGTTTGCAGGTGGTGATAGGAGAGGTCACGGTTATCTAAAACATATTAAAACGGGAAAGCAGATTGCTTCTAGGAAAGCACCTATCTTAAGTAGTTACCGTATACCTAGACCTCTGTAGTAAACAAGTGACAACTTGAGTATGTACTAATGGAATGTTTAAATGGTTTCTATGTAGCTGTTCTAGTTGTGATCACTTCCACAAATTATAAAAACCTAGCAATACTGGATGGACCTAACAATCAGCATTATCAGTATCAGTTATATAATTTACATACTGACCTGTGAAGAATGTCAAATTTAATATGTTGGTAGGACCACAGCGAGATTGTGAGATTGATTTTGGAAATGTCCTTATAATAAAATAAAAAAAAACTGAAAAATGCGAATGTAGCAAATCACTTCATAAAGAAACACAGCTCAAAGATTAATTGTGGCAAGGGTTGTATTTTAAATGGGCTGTGTCCCACTATTATGAGCAATTTCGTTTTCCTCCACCTTCTTTTTCCCCACCCTTCCCAGTACTCTTTTCTATATATTTTCCTACCTTCCCCCCTCCCTTCATTCCCTTGCTCCCCTCTCATGTTTGTATATAACCCCTTTTAATTTCTTTCACCTCTATGATTTTGCCACATTAGAGAAGGAATGTCAAGGACTCTGGCAGGGAATACTAGCTGTTCCTACGAATAACGTTTTATTAAACACTGACCCATGCAGTAGTGCAGCTTGCTTTTGTAAATTTACCAGTATCTCTGTCTCAATGATGCCAGCGTTTCATCTAAAATCCTGCAGCACAATTTCTCCTGTGTGTAGCCTTCTCTTCTGTGAGAAGCAGCAGTAGAACATACCCTGCACCTCTTATTGTGGGGTTGACTAACTCAACAGGTTGTAATCCCCATGATATATGTATATACCTGATCATTAATATATTGATGTTAACCACTGCCTAGATGAAGGGGTCATTCATTGAAGAACTGGAAGGGAAAGCTGAGGAAAATGAATTGCTGAGGATAGATCTTCAAATGCTGGAAACAGAGCGAGTTCGGCTGTCACTAATTGAGGAGAAACTTCTTGATGTTCTACAGCTTCTTCAGCAACTACGTGACCTGGTAAGAGAGAACTCAGTGGGGTTGATTTATTAAAGGAGTTTAAGCTGTTCACTTGCACTTAAATTGATAATTTGAAGTCAGCAGAGCTTGACCGCATTCACTAAGTTGAGTGACAAATCCATTGCAAAGTATATTCACTTTGCTGAGTGAATAGCCTAAACTCATTTAGTAACTAAACTGCACGGTGTCGTTTGAGTACAATAATACCATAAAGTTTGCATATTAGGTGTTTGTTTTAGTAAGTCTATTTATGTGGGTCTTTTTTCTTCTTCATATAAATGTTTTATTGTTTTCATCACAAAAGACCAGTCAGCAGAAAACAATAGATGGTGCCTAGATCGTGGTCAGGACTTTATGACAAGGTATAACAGAGGTTACATAGAGACTAATGTTCCAGGGTGAGTTCGTATGAGCACCAATCTTTGTTTTCCGATGTCTCGTTTGGGAGCAGATGTCAGTCCATGAGGAAAAAATAACACATATGGATTAAACGGTAGCTCAGTGTATAAGCAGATTGTTTGGTCATTTGGTAACACCCAACATGGGTAGAGAACCTCGTAACTTTATTGTATAGGCAATGGCACCATTAAACACAGACATTACAATGAGGAACATAGGGGTCACGCAGACAGAAGGGGAGGTGGGGTGGAAGGACGGTCAAGTGGCAGAAGAGAAGGAGGTGGTCGGGCCGTACTTAAGTACTAAAGAGCGATCAAGAGGGCGATGATAGTAAGTTCTTTCACAGAGTGCAAAGGCGACGAGGGGTGGTCGGGGCTAAGTATTTGTCAAACCAAGGGGACCAGGTAGTCTCAAATTTGGTCATTTTGTCCTCAAGTTGTGCAGTTCGCTTTTCCTGGGCCATCACCCAGTTGACATGAGTTATGATACTGGCAAGACTCAGGGTTGACAACAGCCAATTCTTTGCAATCTCTCTTTTGGCGGAGGTGCAAATATGCATGTTATGTGGGTCTTTTTGTAACATTTCTGCGCAGTGTATAGCTGGGTGGATGCCATTCACACAGCACCAGCACCCCGAAATGTCGCTAAGGAGTATAGGAATTTCCTACAATCCTCAGCAGCATCTAGGGGCACTAATGATGTATGCTGTGCACCGACTTGGTGATGAGGGAGCATGAAGCCGGCTTTCCGGATAATCAGGAAGCCAGGGGGCGAGTCATTACTCGCAGCCCAGCTTCCTTAAAGGGTCTTCCGGTATTGGTATTCAGTATCCGCGAGTACTGGAGGAAAAAAAAAATCAGTACTCGTACTCGATACCGTAAAAACAGAATCAGTGCATCCCTACTGATAACAAGCACTTTAGATAGTTGGTAAACGTTCCTCCTACAACTCAGAACTTGGTGGAGTTCCTTATTTAGGGCTCATGTAGGCCGATCTTGTAAAAAGCATCCATTTTGTTTTGAATGCAGCACTGCTCAAATCCATGCGTTTGAAAGCAAAACCCACCTTTTGGCATAAAAAGGCTGCATTTGGCCTGCTTTTCCTGCAATTTAAAGTACTTCAACAGGATATTCTATGTTCAAAGCAACGCAATGCAAAGCAAAGGAGTTTAAACACAGCCTCTAAACTCTCATCTAAACTGATGTATTGAACTTATTGGGAATCTGCTGACCTGCGTTTGAGATGAGTGCTAAATGAGCCAGCTTTAGACATAATTCACACCTAGGCAATAGGGTTTCACGCGTTTTTGCGGTTTTTATGTGCATAAAATGCATGTTTTTATGAGCAGATTGTAACACAAACAGGCGTAAAAACATGCAATTGCAATGCGTGTTTCCAATAGTTTTCTATTGACTCTATGGGGACAAAACAAACTGTAATCTGCAAAAAGAAGCTTATAAACTTTTTCCAGCGACAGGCGTTTTGCTTATTGCGACAAAACGCTCAGGTGTGAACAGGGGCCATAAGAGTGAATGGGATTTTTTAGGGGAAGCTTTTTTGTCGTGCTAAATCAGCTGCAACAATACACTCAGTGTTAACCAGGCCTCACAGTCATGGATACAACAGTATCACCAGATAGGAAGCGAGGGAAAATTGGCAACAAAAATAAAAAGTCACAGCCTTTCCCTTCTCTACTACAAAAAAAGCGCATTTTTAGTTTTCTCTGGTTTGCCTATGCAGATTTTTACTTCCTGTCTAGTAAAACTGTTGTCATCGGAACATTGTGAGGGGAAATCTCTCTTACGGAGCCCTGAATAGCAGTAAAAACCTGACGGGTTCAAATTGTACCTAACTCTATCCAAAACAAGAAAACCTTTTTGGCAGGACATATGCTTAAAAACATGAATCATAGCTGTAGTACAGGAAATGAAAGTATCCTTTTGAAAACTTCTCCTTTTAAACAGGACCTTTACTCATATCTTTAAAATAACAACAAACAAACCTTTAGAAATGTTTAGTTAAGATAATCTTCAAACACAAACTTCAAGATAATTGCAGGCTTTGTATTTTTTGCATACCTTATTTCTCTTCTCTCCTTCAGTCTTCTGACAGTGGCCATATTTATTACAGGCAGATTACTAGCTCTCCATTTACTTCCTGGATTTCTGGCACATGTGACTAGACATGTGACTAGAACATGTGACCATGCACATCATCTCAGGGGAGAAAAATGCCTTTCCCTGAGATCTCCTGAGATTACAGATGAGATTTCCCAGCAATGCTCTGCTGATGACAAGGCAATCCCAGTGTGCATTGCTTTGGCAAACTGAAGACATGTTGCACTTTTAAAGCAGGAAGTGAATGCTCTGCAAGTGTAAGTATTTCAAAATCACAAAATTTTACACCTGACATGTCTATGTTATTATAATTCATCATACATAGAGGGGTGCATTGGTAGAATTTGATTTTTGAGTGTAAAGGTCCGCTTTAAGACCTTGACTTCCTTGAACTACGACCGAGAGCTGTTAGCATTTTATAGATTGCATCAAGAATTATTCACATTTCCTGAAAGCCTCCCTCTGCTGTGACTTTTCTCATTATTTGTTATGAATATGTATGTGTGAGACTCTTCAGAAGTGCTGGGATGGAAAAAAATATTTTTCTTTTAAATGGAGGTAATGACATGGAGCTATGATGAAGGATCCAAAAACAACGGCAGCCCTTTGCTGCCGGGACACGCTGTAAATAAAATGCTTATCTATGTAAGATTCTGATTCAGAGAGCCTAATGGAAATGAGAGCTTGCTTACTGTGTACTGCAAATTAAACTGTTTAAATATTTCAGTTTATATGCAGCCTTGTTAGCATTCATAAAGATGCAGTCAATCTTTTTGTTCGCTAAAGTAGAAGCGTGGCGAGCTGTAATAAATGTGTATCATTTTCCTATTTGTCGCTGTTTGTATGAATCACAAAACAAACAAGTTGCAATGACACGGTTTGTGGATTCATTGTCCAGTCCTCAGCAGATTTCAGGAGAAAAACTCGTGTATCAAACTGTAAGGGAAGTTTTTTAGGTGCTCACAATATATTTTCAATAGTATTCAAAATCAAGTTCAGGGAACTAAGGAAAAAATCCTACTTATTTTTGAAATAAACGCAATAAATGTGTCATTACAAATGAATCCACAAATATCAGCATAAGAGTAAAAGTGACACTAAACTCAGGAGTTAAATCTTATAAATGCATTCAAGTTCCCTAACTAGTAACAAAAATGTATCTTATTTGTGTATCACTTGGCTGTAGATTCTTAAATCATCTCTGAATTGGTGCTGGTACTGTCCTTCCTTCTGGAGGGTGGCTACTTTTGTTCCACAAGGTCCCTGTGTGTGTTGTGAAGTAGCCACCGCTCCAAGCTCGCTTCCATGCATTTTTAAGATTTGACTCATACATTTATTGTCACTTTAACATATTTATTGCAAGCATCTTTAGGGCACATTGGGGGAGTATGTTTATCAGTGTGTGTAAATCATATGTGTCATATATCCAAACAGTGAAAATGATTTGCAAGACCAGCCAAATGTGATGGTAAGTGGGCAACAAATGGTCAGTTGTGGTATTACAATGAGAATAAATAGGTTGTTGTAGCAATACATTGGCAACAAAAGGGCAGGTGTGGTATTACAAGGACAACAAATGGGTAGTTGTAGCAATACATGGCAACAAAAGGGCAGTTGTGGTATTACAAGGACAACAAATGGGTAGTTGTCGCAATACATGGGCAACAAAAGCTGTGGTATTACAAGGACAACAAATGGGTAGTTGTAGCAATACATGGGCAACAAAAGGGCAGTTGTGGTATTACAAGGACAACAAATGGGTAGTTGTAGCAATACATGGGCAACAACAGTTGTGGTATTACAAGGACAACAAATGGGTAGTTGTCGCATTACATGGGCAACAAAAGCTGTGGTATTGCAAGGACAATAAATGCGTAGTTGTAGCAATACATGGGCAACAAAAGGGCAGTTGTGGTATTACAAGGACAACAAATGGGCAGTTGTAGCAATACATGAGCAACAAATGGGCAATTGCTATAATACATGGGCAAAAAACGGACAATCTTTAATATAAGGGGGCAGGAACATTAGAAACACTGCACATGCTGTGATTTGCAAACTGGGACACACTGGCACTGGCACTGGATGCAATCAGCACTTGCTTATAGGAAGGGGAGGGTTAGCTGCTCATCACAGCCGGTGTTTACACGTGATTGCTCACAGTGATCACAAGGTACAAAGCCACTCTCATTGGCTCTTTACTTAATGCTTGTGAACTCATTCGCAAATGTGGTCTTTAGCATTGTTTACGTTTGTAATTGCTCTGATTGGTCTCAGTAATCACATGGTACAGAGCAAGGGGCACACATGAGCAAAGTAAAAAAAAAGAGAAATAGAAGGAAATTCTTCGAATAGAGCCACTTATTTTTTGCCAGCTGTCTAGGAGCGAAGACTTCCTTCACTGGATAGGTATTCTCTCACTTCCTGTTGAGTCTACAGGACAGGAAGTGAAGGGAAATCTCCCTAATGCGACACACAACTTACAGCGGTTTTAACCCTACCCTTTTCTATCCAAAATAATAAAAAAAATGTGGCTTTTATTAACTTCTTTTTCTACAGAAAAGTTATTTTTACTGACCTTACCGAGGCTATGTAATTCACTCTAGCAGAAAAAATGAAAGCATATCTGTTGTGCAGTTTTGAAGACAACAGCTGTTTTGCAGCAGCTTTGCAGTCTCTCTACTTGTGTACTTTAGAAATCTTTCTATTTAAACATTAGCATGGGCCAGCGATGCCCTTTTGATGTACCAGAGGCGATATGAAGCGCATATGTGCTGCCTCTGTGACTCACTGCCTGAGCAGAGTCTCTGTTTATGTAGTTTTACAGCTAGCCATACAGTAATGTTATGCAGACCTAACAGAAAAGGCAGGAAGGGATGTGATTAACTGAAATAGCCCAAAAGATAATTAGCAGCAACTATAATGGAATTGACCGGGCTTTGCATTCCATCTGCTCAACAAATTCCTTTTTTGTACTAAGGTGCAAAAAGCTGCCTACAAACATTGGTTGACAGCCGCCTGCGTATGTATAGCCTGGCCCCTAAATGATCATTCTGGTGAAAGATCGTGCAGGTTCACATCAGATGCCTATGAAGTGATTGGCTGATAAAATCCAACCCAACTGATTGACTTTTCCCTAAGCAAACTTGGTATAATTATTATTATTATACAGGATTTATATAGCGCAGCGCTTTACAATATAAGGGAGACATTACAATACAATTCAAGACAAGATAGTAAGGAGGGCCCTGCCCCTGAGGGCTTACAATCTAGAAGGGAGGGGGAAGTGATACATGAGGAGGTAGCTATGTGAGGATGAATTGTTTGAGAATGTGATGGTTCAGTGGTTAGGTTGAGGTGGGGTAGGCTTCCCTGAAGAGATGAGTCTTTAGGAATCATCTAAAGGCAGTCAGAGAGGGAGATAGATGGACAAGTTGGGGTAAAGAGTTCCAGAGAATGGGAGAGACTCTAGAGAAGTCTGGAGGCGAGTATGGGAGAAGTTGATGAGGGAGCTGGAGAGCAGGAGGTCTTTGGAAGAGCGGAGGGGACAGTTTGGGTGATACCTGAAGACAAGGTTTGAGATATAACCAGTGGCAGAGTTGTGGATGGCTTTGTAAGTGGTTGTTAAAGGAGAATTATGAGGTGAGTGCTTTTCACTCACCTCATAGTTCTAGCCGACCTGTGACCTGTGTCACAGGTCGGCTCAGTAGATCTGGAGGTGAGCGAACACATACCGGCGTTCGCTCACCTCTCGATCCTGTCACGGCTCTCTGCCGTGACAGGGGAGGGGCTGGATTCCCCCCTCCCCGCTCCGATCTGCCAGTGCTGACTGGTGGAACGGACGGGGGAGGGGGCGGGTACAGCTGGCTCTGCCTCTAGATAGGCAGAGCCAGCTGTCAGTCACGCAGCTGGGTAGATCCCGGCACAATTGTCGGGATCTGCTTCAGCTGCGGCATCTTAGTATACCGTGAGCTACAGCTCGCGGTATACTGAGCCTAGGGTGACGGGAGGACGCTAGTTTGTGTCCTCCCGTTACCCTAAGGAGAACTATGGGGAAAAGCCTTAACCCCATAGTTCTCCTTTTAATATTTAGAATTGTATCCTTTGGGCTATTGGAAACCAGGGAGGGATTGGCAGAGGGGGGCTGCAGACACTGAGCGGTTGGTAAGGTTGATGAGTCTAGCAGCAGCGTTCATGATAGACTGAAGGGGGGATAACGTGTGTAGTGGAAGGCCAATGAGTAGGGAGTTGCAATAGTCAAGACGAGAGATAACAAGGGAGTGGATGAGTAATTTAACGGTTTCATTGGTGAGGAAGGGACGCATTTTGGAGATGTTACGTAGGTGAAGGCGGCAGAAATTGGATAGTAATTGGATGTGGGGCAGAAAGGTGATGTCCGAGTCAAGGATGTCACCTAGCACCTTGGCATTTGGGGAGGGATGGATAGTTGTGTTATCAATCTCAAGGGAAAAGTTGGGGGAAGGTGCACGGGCAGGAGGAAAAATTCAGCCAGGGTCATGGAGGACCTACAAATAAACTGATGGTCCCTGATCTGGATTGGGTGAACATTCTCTATTGTGTGCAGACACCTTAAAGTAGTACTCCAATCAAAACTGTTGTTTCTTTGCTTTGGATACAATTGGTAAAACCTCTGCAAGTTTGTGAAGATTCACCATTATTATGGCCCTGGTAACCATTGTGACCAGCACATGAGGGAAATCCAAACGTTTACAGTTGTCACCAGAATAGCACAGGGATATCAGTTCCAGTGATAGCTGTCAAAGCTGTCTTCACTTATGAGTAAAATGATGGATTGCTTTCTATGGAGGGTATTCTGTAAATGATTTGTATACACAACTGTCCCAAAAATGTTATTTCCTACATATGTGATTGACTAATTGTTGTACCCACATCTGGACACCGTATCGCCTATTTACCAGGCCAATCAACTGCTTTGCATGTAGTTGTTTATATAGCTCAATAGCTAAAGCTCAGATTTTACCCATAGCTGAATGATTCAGAGGAGTGACTCTTCCCCACTTTCTCCTTGTCTCTCTGTTGTCTATATGGCTTCCCTACAGTGTTTCAATTAGAGCCAGATCATGTGAACGGAAAGGGCAAGTATTTTTATTCTAGATGCTCTGCAAGACCAATGTCATGAATAAACCACTTACAAAAGGATTATTTGTAAAATATATTATATAAATTATACAACTGCTGGCCTCTCTTTCGGAAAATGTTGTCTACGTGTCATTCTGATTCGTAATGCTTTCTGAGTAAGCATAGTCCAGCATATGGGGGTGTTCTTCCATTGTCAGGCATAAAACACAGTGCTGATATCAAATGTCTCACACCATCAACAAGATAGCTTGGCCATTATTAAGCCAAATGACAGCAATATGACACATTCCATAATGTAGATTAAACAAATAATATGGTAGTCAGATTTTCAATAGGGCTTTGTAGGATGGGCAGAGACTGCAGGCATATGAGAGAAATATAGTAAGCCGCTGGGGCCTTGCTAGAATAGTAAAAGACCTGGAGAATCCTGGGTCACACTGAGGAAAGTAATTATGTAGCATAAGTAGCGCAAAAGTAGAGCAGATCACATGTTACAGTGGGAGTGGCTTCAAGTGGAATGGTTAAATAGAACCCGAGCCAACTTGCTTTATACACTACAGCGCTATAATGGAGGACAGGTAGGAGATATGAACTGCCGGAGAGGTGAGTATAGGTGCTCTCTACATGCATGGAGCTTTCAGAAGGTTTTTTTTTGTAACTCAATAGGGTTTTTTGATTTCTACATATTGGCGGCCAGTGATGTGTGTGCCCCTCTTACATTGCCTGTTCAGTGTGCTCCCTTTACAATGCCGGTGATTGTCTCATTTTGTTGCTGATCATTGTGCCCCCCTTTTGTTGTTACTCAGTATGCCCCCTTGTGTGCTGCACAGTGTGTCCACTCTACATTGCTGCTCAGTGTACCGTCTTTTGTTTCTGTTCAGTGCACCCCCGTTGCTGCTGAGTGCCCCCTGGGATGTCGGGCCGAAACTATAGAGGCAGTTTCGGGCTGGATAGACCTCAATCCAGTGCTGCCTGCATAGAACAGACCTCCATCCAGTGCTGCCTGACAGCTAAAATAATGTGAGGTCTTAGTAGACCCTAGGCCCCAGGCACGAGATCTGGGACAATTGCCCCTGATGCCAGAGTCTAGCAACTCATATGAGAAGCTCATTTTGATTTAACCTATTTGTTGCCTCCCCAGAAGAGAAATAACAGTTTTGTTTGGATTTACCAAATATTTAATTTTTTTACTCCACATTAACAAATTTGAGTATCTTCCACGTAGGTAATTACTGAGGGTAGAATAGTTTCATCCCCCTCTGTTGCAGTTAAATAAGTTATGATTTAAAGCGGAACTTCAGGCAGATTAAAACAAAAGACCTTTCATTTAAATTATACATTAACATTGGGGGGAATTTATCAAAACTGGAGCAGACAAAAACTGGAGCAGATGTGCATGGCAACCAATCAGCTTCTCTCTTTAGTTGAGATTTGAAAATTAAAGAGGCCACTGCTCCAGGTTATGTCTGCTCCAGTTTTGATAAATTCCCCTCATTGTATGTAAACTCTAGGTAAACAGATATATATATACTTACCTAGAGTTCAACTGTAAGACATGGGCAACATGATATTAAGCAGAAGCTACCGCCCGAGCCAAGAAGAATTACTGTATACCTTTAATGGGAGGGAGGAACTATTTTTGAAGCTTCATCAAAATATGTCCAACGGAAATATAGAATAGAATAGCTCATTCCGTCCTTTTCTCATTATGTTTTGTGTGTATGCCGCTGTGTAATATTCGAATAAATCAGTGCTGTGTGAAAAGTAATGTTATCTGCATACAGTTTTGAGATTTGCAGTTTTTTCATATTTATTTCTAAATGATTGATCACCTGCAGCTCACTTATTTTACCTTCTTTTGCTTTTTACAGGAAATCTCTCACCAGGAATTGGGAAGAGTTTTACTAAACACCCTGGAGATGTGCAGGGAACCCCAACAAGGTACAAACATGCTTGTTTACTGGAATTGTTATTTATTACAACCAATGCATCATCCTTTCATGGGTAGTTTCTCATTTTAATGACTTAAAGCAGGGGTGGGCAACTCCAGCCCTTCAGCTGTGCCTCAGCTACAAATCCGACCATGCCCCTGGGAGCCATGCCTGTATATGTCAGTCTTGCAATGCCTCATTGGACTTGTAGTTCCACAACAGCTGGAGGGTCGGAGTTGCCCACACCTTACTTAAAGTGTATGCACAGCCAAAATATTTTTCTTAGTTGTGGATAGGAGTGATGCGACTGGGCTTGGTGTGAACCCAGCTCGTCTGAGTTTGCAAAAGCCCGCTCAAAACTGTGACCGCCACCCCTTCCTCCAAACCCAATCAGTGGTGGCAGGGGCTTTCCCTGCCCCTTTGTGATTTATAGCTGCAGGATGGGGATGCACCTCCCTGCAACTGATTAGGTCGAGGAGGAGGGGTGGGTGTAGGTCACAGTTTTGAGCAGGCTTGGGCAAACTGAGGAGAACTGGGTTCACACCAAGCCCAACCTTATCACTAGTGGATAGAGTAGGAAAGGATTAGAACCCTAGTCAGGTTTTTACTTCTATCAAGGGCTCCATTAGACATTAGAGATATTTCCCCTTACTTCCGGCCTTGCTGATGACGTTGACCAGACAAGAATTGGGGAGAACTCTCCAACTGCAACATACTGTAGACATAAATACACATGCTTTTCTTTAGTAGACATGGGGAAGGCTAGAACCCGTAAACAGTGGCGTCACAAGGGCGCTGCGGCCCGCACCTGGGTGACACCATTGGACTGACAGTAATTTTGGTGTCACCCCCTCTGAAAAGTCGGGCACTCGGTCATGGACCGAGAGCCTGACAGTTGCAGAAGAGAGAAGAAGGTGAACGTCCCCTCCTCTCTCTGCCGGCGTCCATCACCAAGATGGCCGCCGGCAGGTATCAAAAGGTTGACCGTGCATGCGTGATGACGTCACGGCGGGGTGTCACCCGGTATCTGCTCCGGGTGACACCCGGCCTCGGGACACCCCTGCCCGTAAATGACTACTTGGTTTGCAGTAAAAATCAGGAAAGGGGTTCTAATCCTTCCCTATGCTATTCAAAACTAGAAAAAAAAAGGGTTTTGGCTGGGCTTACACTTTAAAGGGTATACTGGTTTAACATCTAAAACAAAATGATCCCATACATAGCTGCCAACATTCTGAAAAAGAAAATGGTTGCACTGCCGCACCCCCAGTTATGTAGACCATGAAGAATTCAGAAATGATTGGATGAAGCTACATGCATTTTTCTCATCACTGATTTTTTGTACTGAATTTTCTAAACAACAAATGCAGTTATGTAAAAGTTGGATGACAGGTTTATGTACTGTCATTTTTTACTCCTTTATAGAAGTCTGTCCATCAGGCACCATTTTTTAATTTTTCTGGGTCCAAGTAAGTTACCTCTAATGATGGGTTTACTTGGCTGAATGTGGTAATAATCCTAGTTTTATTCATGCCAGATACTACTGTCAGCTATGAGCTTCTGGTTCTGAGACTGACAGTACCGGCTATAGTACAGTGCTGGGATCATGTTGTTCACTCTCACCTTCCGTTTACAACCCCCCAATATTGTGTTCACATAATACAAGGTGTTCTGTGAATGGACGAGGGGAGAAGATGGACAGGTAAACAACACGATCTCCCCTTGTCCATTCACAAAACACCTTTTGTTCTGTGAACAGAATACTGAGCATTTTGTCGTAAACAAGAGACAAGGGGTGTTCTTGGAAAGAAGAATGTAATTCCTCTTGTTTACCTGCCCCTCCTCCCCCTTTGTCCATTCACAAAACACTTTGTGCAAGCACCAGAAGATCACAGCTGACAATAGTATCCGGCATGAATAAAACCAGGATTATTACATCACCCAGTGGCCATCCAGACCTAGTATACCCAACATTAGATATTTAATGGAACCCAGCAAAGTTCAAAAACAGTTTGATTTCCTGGAGTATCGCTTTAAGACAGGAAAGGAAGCCATTTATGTACTTTGTGTACAGCTGGTACAAAACAAGGATAGTGGTCATAACTACAGAACAAATCTTTCTCAATTCTGCAGAGTTAGGGCAAACCTGTAATTTGTCTATGCAGAGTTCAGCAGCAGATTTTGCAGCACATACTAACCGTAGCAGCACATACTAACCTTTCCACTGCCTCAATGCTGCTCAGAGCTCACCCTGCGGGGTGTGAAGAAATTGTCCCATGTTTCAGGGCATGGAGGAGTATGCAACTTGCTTATGTGATGCTCAGTGATTGGCCCAGTGCTATCACATGTATAGCGCGACTTAGAGTTTACACAGGGCATTTTTTTCCTGAATGGAGCAGCGGGGAAGAGAAAGAATGGTGAGCATGTAATGCCGTGGGAGGTCTGCATGGGAGAAGAACAGGTTTGCTATAACCTTATAATACAAAATGGAGTAAGCACTTTGAAGCTGAACTCTGGCCTTGCCATGACATCAGAAAGTTTTTATGTTAATAGCATGTTAATGACAGGGGAAAGAATAAACCAGGGAAGGCAAAATATGAGCAGATTAAACTTCAGTTTTCCAATGCAATACAAAGTTCTGTAAGAATCAGATGACTGTAGAGCTTTAAAATGTGTCGTATGGATTCTAGCAAGTGAGGGAGAATGAAATGAGAAACAGATGGAGAGACACATTTCAAGAGTTCTGGGGGCGCTCCAGATTCTGCGAGTCTTACTTTCGAGGAATTAGGTCTGCCAGCTTGGCCATTTAATTCTGGAAGAGTAAACACACATATGAATTACATGCATTGCATTCATGAATTCATGAATGCGTGTGCTCTATGCTTTACCAGTGTTAACATGGGAGCACCTACCATTCATGATTTGCTTTGTGGTCACGTGTAGTCACATGGCTGTCTAGTTTAAACGTTTGACCTAGAAATCAGGGAATTTATCGGGAGTGTGTTCCGAACGGAGAGGTTTCCAAGGCTACCTCGAACAGAACATATTTTTTCAAGGCTACATCGGACGGAACATATTTGTATGCAGTGCAGTTCACAGATTATTCACAACTGTACTAGAATGATCTGTAGTGCAGGCAAATATCTTCTACTGACCTATTCTTTTAATGTGTGGACGACACTGGGGATTTATGAAGAGATCACTTAGATGCAGCTGCATGTCTAAAACGCATTTTATATAAATTGATACAGCTGTTATGGGATTGGCATGTTGCTGATTGGAGTGAGAGAACTTTGCAGTGTCAGCCATTTCTGTCCTTCAGCCCCGTTCATACTATTTTACTGTGGTACCGTGCTTGCTTGGTGTAACGCGGTGCCATCCTGTTTTTAACAGCTAGTTAGGTTACACAGCAGCGGGCTTCCCCACCTAACTTAGCGAGGCAAGAGCTGTCACAGCCTCTACTCTGTGTTAGAGGCGTGAGCTCTGTGGATGGTTTGGCAAAGCGCCATTGGTCCAAGCTGTCACATAAAAAAAAACAGAAAAAAAAACCAGTAAGGTCATCGATTGCCTCAACAGTGACTCACCAGTGACAAGCAAGTGAGGGACAGGGAGGCTCCTCCCTGTCTCCTCCCTTCCTCGCATAGCTTGGTTACTGAGCTGGGAGCGGGGCTTTGGTGGGATGGGGCAGAGCTTTGGCAGGCTGGGGGGCGGGGCTGGGGAATGCCTCACCAGCACAGAAGGCACAGCATGTCACTGATACACAGTAACGCAGCAATGTGCATTGCGCAACAGAAAAAAGCTGCATGCACCTTTTTTGGTTAGTTAGGCAGCCCATTCAAATGACAAACAAAGTGCTGCACTGAAAAGGGGAGGGAGGGTGCAATCACTGCTTGAGCCTTATGGCTTAGGTTAGGTATCTCTTCTGCAGGAATCGGGAAACCCCTTAGGTTAGGCAGCTCTTCTGGAGGAATCCAGAGACCCCTAGGGGAGCGACTAGGACCCGAATTGAGAAATCTGAAGCCTTTGCATTTTGGCTGTCCTTGCTGGCATTACTACTGGCCAATTGGTCTTTTCACCTCTGAATGCAGTCAGCTCAGGAGCCATGATTTGGGCCCATCCAAAACTTTATTATTTCCATTCTGCCCTGATAAAGGGGGAAGTTGTAGCCCCCGAAACGCGTTGGTAATTTGTAGCCAATGGTAGTCCCAGCGCAAGCGTTAAGAACACTTTTGTGGAGTTCTTCTTTAAGAGGTGGCTAAGTGTTCATATAGAAAATGGTAATTGATTTAAAGTTTAAGGAGAATGTTTTTTTTAAGAGGAAGGCAAAGAGCTACATCCACTTAAATAAAATACATTTATAAGAGCCTTGTTTCCTTGCCAAATTATGTATAACTCTGTCCATCCAGCTCTGATATTTAGCTCTGCACAGCCCTGTCTAGAATTGAAGGGGACCTGATCTTTCTTTGCTGCAATTTTACTTTCACTTACAGGTCCTCTCCCCACACCCACCTTTGTGAATGAACAGTGAAAGGAGAAGCAGCACACTAATGAGCTACTCTCTCTGTCACTCCTTATATCAGCATGTTACTTGCACCTCAGCACACCTGATTGGCTTCATGTGCTGCTTATCCATCCCCTTCTCTTAACTGTTCTGTACAGTAGACTGCAAGAGGCTGATGCTAAATCAAATAAAATCCTACTTGCATTAAAAAAAACACAACATTTTTTTATGTATTTATGATTGCAGAGCTAAATAAAGTAGTATTAAACTCTCAAACTGTTTTTCAATAATGAAACGTAATCAAACATATATATACAAATACAAAGTATTTCTTAAATTTTTGCCTTACAGTGCTTACAGTCATTATGTTTCTGAACAGCTCCAACTCTCTCACCTCAGCTTCCGTGAACTTCCTGTCCAGTATAAGGTCACAAAGGACAGTACAGTCTCCAGTACCTGTCTAGCTACTAACTGGGAGAAGGGAAAGAGGGAGGGGAGTGAAGGGTAGGGGAGTGGCTTGCCTTGCTATGCCTGTGTGTTTGTGGAGACACACAGCTTGCTTGTGCACACAAGGGTAGATCCATAGGACCCTTCAAGGGAAAGGAGCCACCATAAAACAGGATATCAGGGCCAGTGCTCAGGGGACCAACCGATTCTGTAGGAAATTCCATACATTAAGAAGCAGCGTCCATTGTAAGTGATTTAATCAGCATTTAAAATAGATTAAAAAACATTTTGGCTTTAATATAACTTTAATTTGCCCTTTATATTATTTTATTTTTTTTTGTAATATAACTTTAATTTGTGTCTTTATTTATTATTATTTTATTATTAAATATATCTTTCATTGGTATCTTTATTAATTATTATTATTTATGTGCCTGGATTTCAAAGTCAATTTATCACATATTGTGCAATTTTCAAACCCTTTTATTTTCCAGGAAAGGAACATATTTATGAAGTCTTGGACACTTTGCGTCATGAACTGTCGGTCTGTGAGCTCCACCAGAGCCAACAGAAGAATAAAGACAACAAAGCACCATCGTTGACCAACTCACTAGTCATCTCTTGCTGAACAACAGCGCCACCTACAGCTCCTTCATGAATGTACACCTCTGATCAGAGGCTGCCTGCTATCAGCTCATAGGCGCTTGTTGATCAGCACAGACTGGCTCTAATCCATCTGCCTCAAGCTGCTCTCTTGTATCTGAATCACACCATGTCGAAGCAAAGCATTGTGGGTAGAGCTGAATGAATAAACTCACAAAACATCAACGTTTGTTGACACAGATAAAAATTATTTATATAGTTCTACCTGCAGGTGCTCCATGCGGCTGAACAGAGCTCATCATTCAGCAGTTCAATAATAGTCATACGGGGAGCAGCATCAATTGGAATATTTTCCGGAATAAAATGAAGACACAGCAATAAAAATGACAGATTCCCCGGGCTAGGAGTGACAGTCTGCAGTGTTACAGCAAGGACGGCTGAGCTAATAAACTTACAGATCAACTGTTTACACGGCCAAGGCTAATGCAGGTGATGATATACGTTGTCTGATAAACAGATCGATACATCTGACAAATTGCTCTGGTTAGGATGAGTGTGTAAAATCAGATTGATCAAGAAAAAAAAAGAATGCCATGTTTTATTTTGAGCTGTTGCTAGAATCTGATTTTCATATGTGTCCTATTTCAGGATACATGATGAAGGGATATTGTACTGTAGTTCCCTGTAAATAGATGTTACGCTCTATTTTCCTGAACTCCAAGCAAACAAAACAGCTGAAAAACATATAAGGGAACTGTTTTAGCTGCCAAAAGATTTGTATCTCCATCCAATGCTGAGATTTATGCAGCTCTGCTACACAGCACAGCCAGGTGGATGACACCACTTTACAGTTAAAGTAGATGTAACCCAAACTGGATGACATTTATTTGTGGTACTGCGTATCATAACCAGCCCATATAAACTACCACCAATCATAAAATAAATCCCATTTTTTTTTCCATATAATATCGTTTTTCACGTTTTCTCATCCTTTTTGTAGCTCAGTGCTAACATTATTTACCATATATGACCACATAGCCATATTAGGTAAATGTTTTTGACCAAATATAGCCTTGTGGCCATTTAAGGTCAATGACATCACAGCATCCCGGCCCTTTGCTTATGTGCAGTTGCAGGTGTGGAATTCCTCGGCTGTAGCCGATTGGACAGCAGTGGAAGGAGCTTCCTTCTGGGTTTTGAGGAGCTCTGGTTCATAACGAACCCGGTCTGAACTTGATCTCATCTCAAATCAACAGGAATCATCTTAAAGGAGAACTATGAGGTGAGTGCTTTTCACTCACCTCATAGTTCTAGCCGACCTGTGACAATGAGACTGTCACAGGTCGGCTCAGTAGATCGGGAGGTGAGAGAAGACATACTGGGTTCGTTCACCTCTCGATCCTGTCACGGCTCTCTACCGTGACAGGGGGAGGGGCTGGATTCCCCTCTCCCCGCTCCGATCTGCCAGCGCTGACTGGTGGAACGGATGGGGTAGGGGGCGGGTACAGCTGGCTCTGCCTCTAGATAGGCAGAGCCAGCTGTCACTCACGCAGCTGGGCGGATCCCGTCGTCTAAGTCGGGATCCGCTCCGGCTGCGGCGTCTCAGTATACCGCGAGCTCGCGGTATACTGAGCTTAGGGTAACGGGAGGACGCTAGTTTGTGTCCTCCCGTTACCCTAAGGAGAACTATGGGGAAAAACACTGACCCCATAGTTCTCCTTTAATGAAAGTGTCAGATTTAAACGGATTGAAAACAAATTTTAAAATGTCATTAACATGTTTCAACCTATATTAGATGTCAGTGAATGAATACAGTGATGACATCTCAACACAACTACCTGCTGATTGTGCAGTGAAAGAGAAGCTGCAGACTCATGATACATCCCTCTGTTCACTCTGGTCTCTGCTCCTGTCAGTATATCATTGTCTTCATATTCCCAGGCAGCACAATATATTGGCTTCTAATAGTGTCTAATCCAGAGGTAGGCAACCTCAGCACTCCAACTGTTGTGGAACTACAAGTCCCATGAAGCATTGCAAGACTCTGACAGCCACAGGCATGATAGGATTTGTAGTTTTAGCTTTAGTGCCGAGGTTGCCGACCCCTGGTCTGATTCTTCCTTTTTTACCAGTCTAAGCTCTGCAGGAGGCTGATGCCGTCCCAAGGCCGGGTGTTAGCCATGAGCGGGGACCGGGCGACAACCCACCATGACGTCATCGCGCGCGTCACGCGGGGTGTCATTACGTAATCGTGCATGTGTGACTATCCAATTGACGGCGGCCATCTGGGTGATGGACGCCGGCAGAGAGAGGAGGGCGATCCCCTCCTCTCTCCTGACACTGTCAGGCTTTCGGTCCATTAACGAGTGCCCGACTTTTTTAGGGGGGGTGACACCAAAATGACTTTCAGTCATTTTGGTGTCACCCCTCCAATGGCATCACCCGGGTGCAGGCCGCACCACCCTTGTGACGCCACTGTTAGGTACTTACACCAGTTGCTTTTAAAATAAAACATTGATATATTATTGAATAAACAAGGGTATTATTTGTGTCTTCTATATCTGCCTGGAGTTCAGCTTCTATATAGTAGTGATACAGCATTCCTTTTAGCATGTTTTGTCACATGACATGTAGATGTTTATTTATATACAAGATTATAGTTTTATGGAGTTTTTAGATGATACAGAATGGGATATTTTCTTAACTGTTAATAAAGAACAATTTCTTCTCTCACATGTCTGTGAAATGATTTCTTGTATTTATAATACTTTTCTGTTTTTCTCAAGATGTGTTTCGGATTTGGAAGTCTATCAATATGCTCATTTAGTAATTATTGTCCGAGATTAAACTGATATTAAAGCAGAACTCTGGGCAAATCAAATCTTAACCCTTGCAGTGGGGCTACCCCGGCAATGCATAGGTCAAAGTGTACCTTTATCACCTTTGACTAAAAATCACATCAGCATACAGCTAAAATCATCTTACTTTCATTAGCTAAACAAACATTTATTTATTTTTTGCTTACAGTTTCATTGTTTTCCACTTCCTGGTGCACTTTAGCACAAATGATGTAATCGTGCCCAGGCATTGCATCCTGGGAAGGTTACATTAGCAGAGCATTGCTGGGAAATCTCATCTGTAATCTCACGAGATCTCAGGGAAATGCATTTTCCTCCCCTGAGATGATGTGCCATGGTCACATGTCCTAGTCACATGTGCCAGAGTTCCAGGAAGTAAAGGGAGATCTAATAACGGGATGATGTCAGTGGACGTCTGACTGCCTAGAGCATAGGGGAGGAAGAGGCTCCGGGCACTGGTCTTGGAGCCAGCAGGAGTGGGGATCAAGAAGGGATCTAAGGCATCTCAAAAGCTTGCATCGTTAATTGCTTTAAAAAAAAATAGTGAGCTGGATGACGTCACCTCCCCAAAGGGGAAACAGGCTGAGGGCACTGGTCTTGGAGCCAGTGGGAGCAGGGATCAAGTAATTAAGAGTCTTGCAGTGCGGGGTAGCCCCAATATAAGGGGAGGTTTTTTAAACCTGTGGATAAGTTTTAAAATGTGTCAATAAAGGGATTTACTTAATCTCCAAACTTTCTGCATTCAGTTTAAATAAGGATTAGTAAGTAATAGAAGTTCTGCGATATTTGAGTAAAACGTCCAAGTTTTGTCAGTAAAAGGAATCATTAGTGGTTGGCAACCCTGATCTGATGACTGTGTATATAAATTCTGATTAGCTGCTAGGTGTTACTTCTTTCTGTACTTTGAGCTTCCCTTGCTAAATAACCGCTAGTTTTTTACTTCTTCACTTCAGTCAGTTAAAGGATACTATTACATATTTTCTCATTTTAAATGATTATTGTCGACTTGTTAAGTCGAATGAGAACACATTTTTAGCACAAGTTTCACATTTAACTTGCTTGCTTTGCAATTTTTATTTTTTGTTGGTCAATGGTGGACATCAATGAAGTAAAGTAGAAGTAAAATAAAAAGCAAGCCGACAGTAAAGGTTAAGAGCTGGCAGAGGTTCAGTGATACAAATATGCTGTACATCTGACTGCTACTTGTTCTTTTACCCTCATTATTAAAGAACCTGAATCAATGAAATTGCTACAAATTGATAGCTTTCTTCTGAAAATAATAGTTGCCTGGTTGTCTCTGGCTTCAGTTCTTTCATAGACCAGGACCCAGAACAAGTATGCATACTTGACTTAGAAAACACTGAAACACTGGAACCAGAATGAAGCTAGTATTCTCAGGGCCGGATTCCCGGCAAGGCCACCGAGGCCCGGCCTCGGGGCGGCACTGAGAAGAGGGGCGGCACAGGTTTGAATCACCCGACACCCGGAACATAGAGTTCCAGGTGTCAATTTACTTTCTACATTTAGCCCTGCTTTGCACAAGCAGAGCTAAATGTAGAATAGGAGAAATTGCTTGTTTCTTTACATTACACTTGTAATCAGAGTGCCGGTCCGTCCTCCCCCTGCCGCCCCCTCCCTCCCCTGCACTTACCTCTCTCTAGCTCCTGTGTGATAGCAATAAAGTTAGGTGAAAAAAAAACAATTCATAAAAAAAATATTACATTAATAAAAGTAAAAAATAATAAGTAGTTACAATAAAAAATCCTGCATTCCCTCGGCGGAGAGGGAGGGGCACTGCCGAACCTGGCCTTGGGGCGGCAGGGAGGGTAAATCCGGTCCTGAGTATTCTCCTTTATCCATTCAAATGTTCTATCCAGGATGTACTGTATAATTGGACATTCCACTATTTTACAATGATATGTGCAGTTTGTACAAACTTGTTTAATCTGCATTCATCTTCATCCACATTTGCACACGATTTAGCTTGCACTTGGATATGTTGATATTATCGTCATGTGCACCAAACTAGAAGCTGATATACATTGCCTGGTCAAAACAAAGTCACCACCTGGATTTAGCTAAGCAAATAGGTCAAAGCCTTCCACTGGATAGTCTAGGTTCAGCAACATTATGTCCCCCAAAAAAATGAGGTCAGCTGCCTACCTGAATATATGAATAACCAGGTTTTTCCATCACTGGATTTTTTCTTCCCTGATGGCACATTGGGCATATTCCAAGATGACAATGCCAGGATTCATCGGGCTCAGATTGTGAAAGTGGTTCAGGGAGCATGAGACATCATTTTCACACATGGATTGGCCACCACTGAGTCCAGACCTTAACCCCATTGAGAATCTTTGAGATGTGCTGGAGAAGACTTTACTCAGTGGTCAGACTCTCATATCATCACTATAAGAACTTGGTGGAAAATGAATGCAGCTAGGTAGCAGGGCTCTGTGGGGTCTCACCAGGGCCCTGTGGGGGGGTCTAACCAGCCTTGTTAGACCCCCACAGAGCCCTGATGAGACCCCACAGAGGGCTCTCTAGGGTCTCAACAGGGCTGTCAAAAGGGCTCTATGTAGTGAGTGTTACCTGTTACCAGGGCTGCGTGGGCCGCGTCTCACACTGATGCTTTGCGGGCAGAGACCAGG